AAATTTGCAGACCTGCAATGAACCAGAAAATTTCCTTAAGTCTCAAAACACTCTGTGGCCTATCCAAAACTCACCCGAGCCCTCGGGGCTCCAAACCAAACATGCACACAAGTCTGAAAACATCATACGAACTTGCTCGTACAATCAAATCGTCAAAATAACATCTTATACAACGAATTTAGCATCAAAATCAATGAAAATCTCAAGAACACTTAAAGTTTCTATTTTGACAACAGATGGTCCGAATCACGTCATATAAACTTTGTTCCTCATCAAATTTCACAGACATGACTTAAATACCATATTAAATCTGTACCCGGCTCCGAAACCAAAATACGGGCCCATATTTTATGTCTTCAGATATTATCTTTTGAAATATTAAGTCACCTCACTAATAAGTGTGAGAGAAAGTAATTAGTAAAATGATTGTGCTGATATATAAAGCAGAGAAATTCAAAAATATCCAGATTTACAAAAGGCCATTCAAAAATAGCTACAATTTCAAAAGTCATTGAAATTTAGTCACTTTTCATGTAAAGATAAATCTGAACGAAGACACTGTTCAAAATCCGAAAAATACTCCAGCATAATATGCTGGAATTCCGGTATATTATACTGGAGTTTGGAGTTCCAATATACTTTGCTAGAACTATAAGGGAACTCCAGTATATTATACTGGAGCCAGCAAAGTATACTGGTCCAACATAATATGTTGAAAGTTCATGCACAGGTGCATTGAACTCCAGTATATTATGCTGGACCGATCTCTGTTACAGTAAAATAGTGGCAATTTTTCAATGACTTGGAAAACACTAGCTATTTTGAATGACCAGTACAAAAACTGGCTAGCCCGTGCTATTTTAACTAAGGCTGCGTACAATAAACCCTTGTGGTCCGGCCCTTCCCAGGACCCTGTCCATAACGAAAGTTTAGTGCACCGGGCTGCCTTTAGGGCGTTATATGCTAGTGATTACATGCTTTCATATGAAATCATGTGCTAACAAGAATTAAAATATACAAGATCAACCCCATACCACTAGTTATTTATGTTTATTAAGCCAATAATTACCAGATGAAGATTGTTGTGAAATTTAAACAGCCATTTACAACACATTTTCCAGCTTAACTAGAAACTAAAGAAAAAGAAAAAGAAATTATATTATTGACTTAATGGTTTTAAATGTAACTAGTAGCTTTATCAAGAGGTAGCAAAGAGAGTGAGTAAATGGGCAAGTCTCTTCATGAGGAGAATAAATAACGAAATCCATAAAAATTAGGATCTTGAGCACAAGAAAAATCCATCTTTATTAATCAAACAATACAAAAGTAAATAAAATAAAACAAAACTATAATATTAAAACTAAAGAGTTGGAACGAGTTTACCGAATTGACGAACAACTTGTTGAAAATTAATTATCGTTGAAGACTTGAATACTTCAATTCACCAACTTCATAATTTTTCACACAAGTTGTAACAATAAAGTAACCAATTTTAGAAGAAAATTAGAGAGATATTGAGAGATATTGATGATTTTGTGAAGAAAAATAAAAGAATGAGGGGGTATTTATAGTTGAAAATAGGGAAAAATGTAATTATAAAAAGTTTGGGGTTAAAACAAAGTTGGGGGGAGGAGGGGATTAAATGGCTATTTTATAAATAGCCAACGGCTATTTTATAAATAGCCAACGGCTATTTTGGCAGAAATAACAACTAGATTTTAAATGGGTAACGGTCAGATTTTTTTGTGGCAATTTTTTTTTTTTGAAAATGTAGTCGTTGGGCCCGGTTAAGACCGGTTGAACCGGCCCACGTAGGACCCGATTTCGGGCCCAAACGGTCCCGATCCTAACGATCTTCGTATATGAACCGGCCCACTTGGGCCTCCAGCCCCTAGTCCCGGGCTTAAACGGGTAGGCCCATTTAGGCCCATTACCAATATGGGCTCGCGGGCCTGGGCCGGGCCCGGGCCTAACCGGCCTACTTGCCACCCTTACTTTAGGGTCTGCGAATGCCGACAGATCTACCTAGGGTCTTATGTAGACTGAAGGCAGCAACCTCGAACTCTTATCAGTATGGTCCAATATCGGGATCTGCATAGAAAGTGCAGAGTGCAGTATCAATACAACAGACCTCATATATTGGTAAGTGCCGATCCTAACCTCAACGAAGTAGTGACGAGGCTAGGACACGACAAACAAGATAAACATGAACAGTTAAACAATATACTAGCGGAATAACAAGTATTAAAAACTGAGCAGAAATGAACGGGAAGGGGCAACATGCTATGGGAGTTCCAACACAAAGAATCACAGCAGTAAAGAAATCTAAATAGCTAGAACACTTGAACCGATAACAACAAACAAACACGGCAACAGAAAATGCACGGCATCACCCTTCGTGCTTTATCACTCTTCCTCACCATATGTATAAATAGAAATGTGCACGGCATCACCCTTCGTGTTTTACACTCTTCTTCACCCAAACAGCAGAAACAATAACAATTCAACAAGGGAATCATCAATAAACAACCTCGTTTCAACATTTACTTCACAATGAAAATCTCAACTTTAGTCAGTACTCAACAATTATCCAAAACTAGGAGAACACAATAAGACTTGATTAATATGAAGAATAACTAGTTTAAGCATAGACAGTACGTATAAGGAAACACAATAGTCACAAGTGTAAGATTCATTAGCATGCTATGACCCGACAACCACGTATAAATACTCGTCACCTCACCTATACATCGTACTCAACAACTAAACAAGTATCAAATAAGGCAACAATACCTAATCTCTCAAGTCAGGGTTAGAACCAACACTTACCTAAATTCTACGGCCACAATCAAACCTCAATTACCGCTTTACCTCTCGATTCCACCTCCAATCCGCTTGTATCTAATCATAATTAACTTAATAACATCAATAAATGCTAAAGACCTCAATTCCAATGCTTAATTATAGGTTTTCCAACATTTTTCCAAAAAGTCAAAACCGACCCCGATCCCGCTTGGTCAAAACTCGAAGTTCGGACCAAAACCCGATTACCCATATACTCCCGAGTCCGAATATGCAATTGGTTTTGGAATCCGACCTCAATTTGAGGTCTAAATCCCCAAATTCAATCAAAAACACCCAATTTTCGATGAAAATCCCTAGATTTTGTGATGAAATCTTGTAAAAAGATGAAGTAGATTGAAAGAAATGAGTTAGAAATTGTTTACCTATGATTTGGAGAAGAACTACTCTTTAGAAAATTGCCTCTTGAAGTTTAGGGTTTGAAACTTTGAGAAATGAGTTGAAAATCCCATCCAAAACTCGTTTTGAACAGTCGCAATTATCACATTTGCGATCAGGGGTTCGCAAATGCGAACATTTCATCGCAAATGCGAATAATGTCAAGGACCTGCTATTATCGCAAATGCGAACATTTGTTCGTATTTGCGACTTGTTCTTATCGCAAATGCGATGTTGAACTATGCAAATGCGAAGGTCCCCTGCCTAGTCTCTTTATCGCAAATGCGATGCTCGGATTTGCGGTCCAGACTTCGCAAATGTGAAGTGTGCAGACCTGTAATGAACCAGAAAATTTCCTTAAGTCTCAAAACACTCTGTGGCCTATCCAAAACTCACCCGAGCCCTCGGGGCTCCAAACCAAACATGCACACAAGTCTAAAAACATCATACGGTCTTGCTCGTGCGATCAAATCGCCAAAATAACATCTTAAACAACGAATTTAGCATCAAAATTAATGAAAATCTCAAGAACACTTAGAGTTTCTATTTTCACAAACGGGAGTCCGAATCATGTCATATAAACTCTTTTACTCACCAAATTTCACAGACATAACTTAAATACCATATTAAACCTGTATCGGGCTCCTGAACCACAATACGGGCCCACATTTTATGTCTTCGGATATTATCTTTTGAAATTTTAAGTCACCTAACTAATAAGTGCGAGGGAAAGTAATTAGTAAAATGATTGTGCTGATATATAAAGGGGAGAAATTCAAAAATAGCCAGATTTACAAGAGATCATTCAAAAATATCTGCAGTTTCAAAAGTCATCGAAATTTAGCCACTTTTTATGTAAAGATAAATCTGAACGAAAACACTGTTCAAAATCCGGAAAATACTCCAGCATAATATACAGGAACTCCAGTATATTATACTGGAGTTTGGAGTTCCAGTATACTTTGCTAGAACTATACTGGAACTCCAGTATATTATACTGGAGCCAACAAAGTATATTAGTCCAACATAATATGTTGGAAGTTCATGCACATGTGCACTGAACTCCAGTATATTATATTGAACCGATCTCTGTTGCAGCAAAATAGTGACTATTTTTCAATGACTTGGCAAACGTTAATTATTTTTGAATGACCAGTCCAAAAATTGACTAGCCCCTGCTATTTTAACTATATAAAGTCCAAGTGTATTGCATCACTAGCTCCTTTTTTTTCATCACTATCTTTAATTAAAAATGTCTAGTCCAAAGGTATTGCATCACTAGCTTTAGTTTGTTATTTTGCTACATCTTATCGTTATGATGTTTTTACGTGGACCCGAATGCTTTTTTCTGGGTTTTCATCCGAAAATCAGTACATGTATTAAGACCTCGACTAATCTAGCTTCGCGCCACATAAGGCCAATTAAAGGGGAAAGCGTCTCCTAAATGGTTTTTTTTCTAAATTACAATTCAAACCCGAAACTTCTAGTTATGGACGAATTTAAAAAATAAGTATTACTATAAAACTGAGAGGGCAAGATTCAAGATCCCAAATTTTTCTTTTTCCTTTTTAGTAAAAAGTAAGCTAGAAAACTTTATTGAGAAACAATTGGTTTGTTTTCTCATAAAATTTAACTCTAAGAACATAGGAGTTCCAATTTTTCATTCCTTTCTCCTGTAAAAGATTCTTGATTGTTAATGCTTAGTGCAATCAGCACCTCCTTTTTCAACATTTCTTTTTTCCAGTTTGGCCATGTAGGAAAATAAAAAATCTATTGACTATATTAAAGCCAAATCTATAAGATCATTAAAAAAAATAAAAAAAGATACAGAATCGGAATTGATCAACTGTGTGTTAAAGAAAGAAGGGCCAAATGAGAAAGATGGCAAAGTAAATGGAGGAAGTCACAGTCAAGCTTTGCTACCATTAAAACTTCTAAGCATTACCTCTACTGCCTTTTGCTTTTAACTGGAGTATCCATGAGCCACATGCTTCACTTTAATATGTTGCTACTAGTGGGAAGCCCGGTGCACTAAGCTTCCGCTATGTCCGGGGTCCAGGGAAGGGCCGGACCACAAGGGTCTATTGTATGCAGCCTGACCCTGCATTTCTGCGGGAGGCTGTTTCCACGGCTCGAACCTCCGACCTTCTGGTCTATGTTGCTACTAATATTTGAGTTATTTAAGACTATCATAAAGACAGGTTTGCGAACTTTCACCTCTGTATTGACTTGTAAAGAACCACTGTCACGTATTTGGACAGAAACCGGTTAGTTGAACCAAGTGCTACCACAGAAGGAGTACTACTTCCTTTCTGCATGTAGAGATGGTTAAGCACCACGTGCTGAGGCCTTGAAAGCGGCGGTGGAATTTCCATGTGAGATGAAGGGACATTAAGCAAAGTCATCTGTAGATGGGGTGGCACCACAGGCGGCTCCTTTGCGTAGTCCTCAGCTCCAAGGTGCAAGTTATTGTAGCTGGAATCTGGGGATTGAGGAGGTTCAAAACCAGAAATGCTTTCAATGTCTTCTGGAACGTAATCCTGCACTTGCATCAGCAAAGACAACGTTTGTCAAGTTATAGCACGCCAAAGCAAAAGAGTAACTAATTGCACTAAATTAAGCGCTTTAACACATTTCTCCTCTGAGAGAGAGAGAGAGAGAGAGAAAAGCATATGATGTAATCATCTCGATTGTATTGATTATGCTGCGATGTAATTTTGGTGATCCCCCAGACGGGCAAAGCCACTGGCCTGTTCCATTAAGCTTAAGAGAGAAAAGAAAAGATATTACATAACAGCTGTGCTTTTGATGAGCCAACAATCTGCAAGTCCACTTAAGATTTCTGCTACTATCTTATGGTATATATATTCTTTTCTTCTTCTCTTTTGTATTTTTATTTCAAGGTAGGTGATTATGCATTAAGTAGGATAGTGGAGCCTTGGAAGAGTTTGTCCAACCAAGCTTTCAGGACAGGGGCAGAGCTAGCCTTCAACTTACGGGTTCGGCATAACCCAGTAGCTTTGGCCCAGACCCTGTATTTGTGTTAAGAAATACACTTAGTATGTACAAATGATTTATCCAGAACCTACTAAGCTGTATTTTCTAGAATCTAGACCGCATATACTCAAAATTTTGGCTTTGCCTCTGTTCTGGAGAGCGTGGAGGAAGATGTAACAAACTATACCAGATTACTACATGCTTTTTTTTTTAATTTTAGAAAATATCAGATTACTACATAGTTAGCTAGTTATGCCCATCAAACAAGTCTAACTTTCATCAGTGTGTGGTCTTCACCCCATCGGCATACCCAATGGTGAAGGGATCAGAAACTGATGAACTCAGTTTAGAACTATCAATACATCAAATGATGAGAATAGCCAGTAAAGGCAGCTACGCAAGTTGAGTAAGACTTCTATGATTCATTCGAGCAAGCTTTGGCTAATACTAATTAGAGAACAACTCGTGTCATCAAACAAAGTCGGGCCAATCATGCTTGTACGTTTTCTTTTTTCTTTTTGATATGGTAAACCCCAAACCCCGCCCCTCAAAACCCCTCCTACCCAGGAGTGAAAAATGGAACTCACTTTTGCTCCCTTGTACTCAAAACCAACCTAAGGTTGGGTGAACCACACGACAAAGGCGGGATAGCCTAGTGAAAAGAGCCCTCCACCTCCAACCATGAGGCTGCCACTGTCCCCTGAAGAGGGAAGTTCGCAGCGCTGGTGTTTACCATATAAAAAAAGGTTGGAGCGGATCAAGCTTGTCTTGCTACATATTTTGCCGTATTACTCCACAAGCGGTTTTCACCTAAGTGCTAGAATGCGCTTTTATTCACATCAATATCCACTAGAAATAAAAGTAAGTTATGGACATCAAAATGAAAAAGAAAATCACAGAATAGTGGAAGTAACAAAATCTAAAGAACTCAAAAACAGCCAAAATAATCTTCATTGCAAAGTGGGATATCGGGGTTACATAGGATAAGTAAAGCATTTACAAGCCCATAATTAACAGCAGCACAATAACATGTGAAAAGCTGATCTTTATCTGCTAAACCTATAAAAATAATAAACAAATTAATTAAACATATCAGGCTTATAGCTGAAAAGATGCATGATTTGGTGGACGACAATGATCAAATAATAGAAAAATATCTATAAGGCCATTTGCTTGCAGGCAACCAGTATGATGAACCGTGAACCAATACTGAATAGAGAAGAAACAGAGAAGAAAAGAAGGATCTAGTGTGGGAAATCATCAGTAACACCTAAAATTCCCTGAAAATAACCCCCACGGTCAGGCTGAGTAAGGCACTAAAGAAGCGACAAATTTCACCAAAGGAAAGTTCATCTCTTCACTCTGAATCTGAAAAACATGGATATCATTTTTAGATTTTTTTGTTTTAAGATTGAACATGGATATCAACACTTTAGCTTTTCCCATCCAAAAGACTACCCCGACACAGACAAAAAAAGAAGGTATTCTAGTATTATGCAAAAGGATTCTTAAACAGGTTCTCTGCAAAATTGAGAAAAAATCCAAAATCATTTTTAAAAAAATGAAATTAGAAATTATAGAAGGATATCGAGGATATCAAAAAAATAAAAAAGGCCTATTAAATCATTAAAATTTATCTTTTCACATTCCCTCTTCAGCTTTTTTATTTTTTTCCAGCCATGGAGGCAAGGCGAGGGGGTTTCTCTTTTAGAAATTTCTCAGATCAATTTTGACCGAGTAAATGAATTAACAACCCCCTTTAAGCAACATGATGATGCATACAAAATAGCATCCGCATAGATTAAATATGTCCAGAGATGTTGCACATGTTCCCATCAGGATTATAAATTAGGGATACTTTTATTTAACCGAAATTGTAGTAAATACAGTGGGTGGGTGTAATTCAAAAAAACCATAATGAACTCTACTTGTCTATGATTTTCTTTGAGAGAAAAAAAGACATATACAGACATTTGCTTTGTGATCTCTCACCGTACTTTCTATTGCACAGACATGAACAAACTGAGTTGAGCTTCTTTTTTCTTTTGACAAGGTAAAGTATTCTACTGATGATTAGTACCAAGAATGTCCTTTAACAAACTAAGTTGAGCTTAAATGGAGAAACATGGTGAGTGAGGATTCGCATAGCCAACTCCAACTTGTTTAGGACTGAGGCAAATTTATTGTTTGTTGTAGTAGACATGAACAAACTAGAAAATTGTGAAAAATTGTGTCACAGCTAAGGTTCTTTTTTTTTTTTTTTTTTTTTTTTTTTTTTTTTTTTTTTGTGTGTGTGTGTGGTTGATGCTAAGATATAGTGAGATTCAGCATAGATTTGACCTAGACTATAGAGACACATGAAATCTTTTTCCATATCATTTCTGAACACCAAATCTTTTTGACAGCCCAAAACCACTGGCATAAGTGCAACTCATGAGAAGCTTTGGATCTATGAAGAAGAGCCATACGCAATTTCAGAAACCTCTTAATTCGAATTATCTACACCTGTATATAAGGATGAGCCATAAAGACAACTCCTTCAGAAGTGTCAGTCTCAGTGTCATAATGTGAGTTCTCATCAAGTTTGAAGTCAAATTCACATTTGAGATGCGAGTTCAATAAGCAGACACTACTTACTACAAGTAGGCTCAGCTCACGAATGCATCACAAATCACTATTTTATGCACATTGATGTAACAGAAACTTGTATTCATGTATTCTTCCATGGCATTACACGCTACACAGCTTGAGTTGGTGCAGTTAATTTGACTAATATCTTTTTTATAATTGAGAAATTCCCAGGCTCATTGGTGCACGGTTTGAAACTCGGTGAAATGGGTCCTCTCCTCTACCCTTCTCCACTTAAATACCAGGTTTTCTTAGCAGCAAGGTTCTGACATGCACCTAACTCACACATCACGTGTTGTGGTCTTACCGCTAGACCAAAGCCTAGGGGACTACTAACAAAATTTCCAATAACAAAATTCAGGAACATCTTCAAATCAATCCAAAGGGAGCATGGATGTGACATATATTTAATCAGTTCCTATTGGATCTTTAGTTTCCAAATATGAAAATGCACGGGAAAAAAATATTATTGATTAATATTCTATGTTACAATGAGCCCTATTTATATGTATACATAACACATAACCTACTCCTACTATATAAGGGACGAGGACTAATTACATATATTCACATAACTATTCTACCATTCCCCCTCAAGCTGATGCATATAAATCATATGTACCGAGCTTGTTACATATGTAGTTAATACGAGGACCAGTGAGGAATCTGGTGAAAATATCTGCAAGCTGATCATTCGACTTCACAAATTTTGTAGCAATATCTCCCGAGAGTATCTTTTTCTCTAACAAAGTGACAGTCAATCTCATGTGTTTAGTTCTCTCATGGAACACTAGATTTGACGCAATGTGAAAAGCAGCTTGATTATCACACACAAGTCTCATCTGACTAATCTCGCCAAATTTCAACTCCTTGAGCAACTGTTTGATCCAAATTAGCTCACATGTCGCCATAGCCATTGCTCGATATTCTGCTTCTGCACTAGACCGGGCAACCACATTCTGTTTCTTGCTCTTCCAAGATACCAAATTTCCTCCTACTAAGACACAATATCCAGAAATAGAACGTCTATCAGAAGGTGATCCTGCCCAATCAGCATCTGAGTATCCAACGATCTGCTCATGGCCTCAATCCTCAAACAATAAACTTTTGCCTGTAGCTGATTTTATATACCGAAAAATGCGGACAACTGCATCCCAATGACTGACTCATAACACTCATAGGAAAGGAAATGTCAGGTCTAGTCACTTTGAGGTAATTTAATTTACCAACCAACCGCTTATATCTTGCAGGATCGCTAAGAGGCTCCCCCTGCTCTGGCAGAAGTTTAGAATTCGGATCCATCAGAGTGTTAACAGGTCTACAACCTATCATTCATGTCTCCTCAAGAATATCTAAGGCATACTTCCATTGTGAGATCACAATACCTGAGCTAGACTGAACGACCTTAATATACAGAAAATACTTTAATCTGCCCAGATCCTTAGTCAAGTGCTGAAAGAGATATTGCTTCAACTTACTAATACCATCCTGATAATTGCCGGTAATAACAATATCGTAAACATAAGCGACCAGATAAATACAGAGATTTGAAGCAGAATACCGATAAAACACAGAGTGATCAGCTTCACTACGAGTCATGCCAAACTTCTGAATAACTATGCTGAACTTACCAAACCAGGCTCGAGGAGCTTGCTTTAGACCATAGAGGGACCGGCGCAACCGACATACAAGGCCACTAGACTCCCCCTAAGCAACAAAACCAGGTGGTTGCTCCATATAAACCTCATCCTCAAGGTTACCGTGAAGAAAAGCATTCTTAATGTCCAACTGATAGAGAAGCCAATGGCAAACAACAGCCATGAATAGAAAAAGGCGGACTGATGCTATTTTAGCCATGGGAGAGAAAGTATCACTGTAATCGAGTCCAAATATCTGGGTATACCCTTTGGCAACAAGACGAGCCTTAAGTCGATCCACCTAGTCATCTGGACCAACTTTGACTGTATACACCCAACGACAACCAACAGTCGATTTACCCGAAGGAAGAGGAACAGGCTCCCAAGTACCACTTGTATGTAAAGCAGACATCTCGTCAATCATAGCTTGTCGCCACCCGGGATGAGACAGTGCTTCACCTGTAGACTTAGGGATGGAAACAGAGGACAAAGATGATACAAATGCACAATGGGATGATGACAGACAATGGTAACTTAAACCAATATAATGGGGATTAGGATTAAGTGTGGAACGTATACCTTTTCGTAGTGCAATCGGTTGACTAAGAGGAGACAAGTCCGCAGTATTAGCAGGGTCAGATGCAGGACGTGAATCAGCTGGGCCTGATGCTGGGCGCGGACGACGATGATAAGTCAGGAGTGGTGGAGCTGCAGAAGGTTGAACTGGACTAGGTGGTGGCACTGGAGCTATAGTCGGTGGCACTGGACTAGGTGGTGGCATTGGAGCTATAGGTGGTGGAGCTGCAACGGGAGCTGTAGGTGGTGGAGCTGTAACTGGAGCTATGGAGGAAGATGAATGGGAGATAGTGACTGAATCTCCAAAATACGGAACTGGTAGCACCTCAAAAATATCTAAGTGACTACCTGGACCTGTGAAGTATGATTGGGTTTCAAAGAAGGTAACATCAGCAGACATAAGATACCACTGGAGGTCAGGACAATAGCATCGATATCCCTTTTGCGTTCTCGAGTAACCTAGAAATACGCATTTAAGAGCACGAGGAGCTAATTTATCTTTTCCTGGAGTAAGGTTATGAACAAAACACGTGTTGTCAAAGACACGGGGTGGAAAAGAGAACAAAGGTAAGTAGGGAAAGAGGACAGAGAATGGAACTTGATTCTGGATAGCTGAAGATGGCATACGATTAATACGATAGCAAGATGTAAGAACTGCATCCCTCCAAAAAAGCAACGGAACATGAAATTGTATGAGTAGGGTACGAGCAGTTTCAATAAGATATCTATTCTTTCGTTCAGCTACCCCATTTTGTTGGGACGTGTGCGGACAACATGTTTGATGAATAATTCCATGAGAGCTCATAAACTGCTGAAATGGGGAAGACAAATACTCTAGGGTATTATCACTACGAAATGTGCGAATAGAAACCTCAAATTGATTTTGAATTTCAGCGTGGAAGGTCTGGAAAATAGAAAACAACTCAGATCGATTTTTCATCAAAAATATCCAAGCGCACCTGGAATAATCATCAATGAAATTGACAAAGTAGCGGAATCCCAAGGTAGAACTGACCCGACTAGGACCCCAAACATCTGAATGGACTAAAGTAAAAGGTGACTGCTCGATTATCAAGACGCCGAGGGAAATGGGAGCGAGTATGCTTACCGAGCTGACATGACTCACACTCTAGAGTGGACAAATGAGACAAGTCAGGTACCATTTTCTGAAGTTTTGACGAACTGGGATGTCCCAACCGTTTATGTAATACATCTGGTGAATCAGTAACAAGACAAGTTGTTGAAGGAAGACAAGATGTGAGTCCATGTGATTTTGCAAGGATAAGGTAATAAAGTCCATCTGATTCATGTCTGGTACCAATGATACACCCCGTACTGCGTTCCTGTATAAAAACAAGGTCATCACGAAATAAAACAGCACATTTAAGTGATTTGGCTAAGCGACTAACGGCTATGAGATTAAAAGGACTACCGGGAACATAAAGAACTGAATCTAAAGGTAAGGAAGGAAGTTGACTTGCTTGGCCTATTGCAGTTGCCATGGTTTGAGACCCATTGGCCACTGTGACTGTTGAAAGAGATTGGAAATATGAAATACTAGTAAAAAGAAATTTGTTACCTGAAATATGATGAGATGCACCTGAATCAATGACCCAAGAGTCGGAAGAAGAAGATGATTGAGAGACACAAGTCACGCTATTACCTGTTTGAGCTACAGAAGGTATCTGCTTACGTGCTTTATACTGAAGGAACTCGATATAATCTGATAAAGACACCAATATGAACATTCAAAGTATAGGATCCAACAGTATTTGACCCAAAAACATCAGAACTGAGTGACATTATAATGAACTTAAGAGAGATCAAAGCCAAATATCTGATGAAGATTACCAATAGTGATGAGATACCCTCAAATCAAGTAATTAGAAATTGGAACCAAACTATTATAATGATCGGACACTGTTGTACTTCTCAGATCTTCGTCGGAAGCAAATTGAAGTCAACGAAACGGTGGAAATTAAATGACTGAGGACAGAATCAACAGGCGACCTTTGTATGTGAACAAGGTGGCGGGAAAGTGAGAAGAACAGTGATAGACCACTGCTCTCGCCGGAAAAACCATTGCTCTTGCCGGAAAACATTTTTCCGGTAACTGAGAAACCACAAAATCTCGAAGGGTCAAGTCGGAAAAGGCAGGCGACCAGCCCAGAAGAAAAATCAGATTTGAAAAATGCCAGAAAACGACCTCACGCGCCGGCGCGTGAGGTGACACTCTCGCCGGAACACTAACTGTCGAAGGCGCGTGACGGCGCGTGTGACGTTATCTGCCGGAGATCTTCACTGGGGTTTGGTCGCCGGTGATAGGAGAACCTTGTGGTGGTGTTAGAATTTGCACAAACCCCACTGAAACTCTAGATTGACGTAAGCAGCTGCTTAAGTCTCCGGAAAATTGCACGGTGATGACTGATTTCTTCCCAGATGTCGTTGGAATGACGCACAACGATAATTATCTCACCAATGCTCTGATACCATGTGAGAATGCATGGGAGAAAAATATTATTGATTAATATTCTATGTTACAATGAGCCCTATTTATATGTATACATAACACATAACCTACTCCTATTACATAAAGGACTAGGACTAATTACATATATTCACATAACTATTCTAACATAAGAAACAGTACAACACAAAACTAGACTTAGAAATCAATGAAATCCTGAAGATGTAGTAACAGCGATGACAACAAGATGACAAATATACCTTCACGTCTAAAAGGTTGTAAGCGTTCCCTGCTTCGTCCTGAATACATGGCAAGTCAGGGGAACACCGCCACTGTCCATCAACTATAAACCTATATTGGTAAACCCCTGAAGGAAGCACCTTCAAAATGGTGAAATCTTTCCCTGATTTTTGCAGAGGCATCCTGGAACAAGAGTTTGAAATTTTAACGTTAACTTGCAACCTCGAAGTCTATGTAGAGATAACGGATGAGAAAATTGTGCTTTGAGGTAGAACGTGGATGAGAAAATTAAACTTCTAACCTTGACTTCCAATTATCCCATGAACCCTCCACAGCAACTTCTTTGCAGTCATGTGTCCAAGATATCAGGGTTGGAACTCCTTGCTCGTCGGTTTCTTCATACTCAGAAGCGGTTTGCAGCCATGAAATGCTTGGGCCGTGCCCCTCATCGGGTCTCTGTAGAGGAACCACTGGCATCTGGGGCAAACATTTGAAAACAAAAAATGTCTATCATATAAATTATCTTTTTTGGAGGAAGGTTACGAGTAGATCATACAATTTATCTCTTATAATAAGATAAATCAGACTAAGAACATGATGAACCTTAATTATACACTAGTAATCTTGTAGAAATCAATAAAACATGAGAGATATAGATTCCACGCTAGCTGATAACAGAAATCAACATTAGTCAATATACAACACTTTATAGTGATAACCTTTATTGTTTTCAACATCTATTGTATTGAAATAGCTCCAGTCTAAGTCTACTTGATTCCTCAAACTTCAAGCAATTAGATGTACAAAGACTAACACAACAACTGACTATGCCGCAATTCTAAACTAGTTTCAGCCAATTAAACAGAAAAAGAAAAAAAGATTACTTTACACCTACATAAGCAACAACAACTACTATGCCTCAATCCTAATAGAAAAAAGATTTCTCTACACCTACATGCAATTAGATAGAAAAATAATAAAACTTTACACCTAAACAAGAAAAAAACAGCTACGCCGCGACCCAAAATAGTTTTAACCAATTAAACAGAAATATATTTGAAATTTACACCTACATAAGCAACAACTAATATGCCTCAAATCCTAATTAGTTGAAGTGGGCTACATGAATCCACAATAAGCATTCCACTTCATATAAACTCTTTCATTCCAATACTAAAAACATGAGAATACTAAGATAAAAAGAAAACTAAAAAGACTACCCCTCCGCACCCGAGAGTGTGGCTAGTAGTCAATAAAATGCATGAAGAATCATGAGGTCTCATGGTCAAATCCCATCAGAGGCAAAAATATATGGGATGATTTATTCTCATCTACCTAAGCCTCATGGGCAGAGTTACTCGATACATTGCTAATGAAAGGTTGTAGGTACCCGGTGAAATAGTCGAGGTACGTGCAAGCCATCCGGGACACCACTGTTATAAAAAATGACTATCCCTCCACCCCACATTTCCAAGAAAGGGAAACAAATGACTAGCCCTCTACCTAAGAGTGTGGCCTAGTGTTCAATAAAGTTCAAGGAGAATCATGAGATCTCAGGCTCAAATCCCATCGAAGGCAAGAAAGTGCGAGATTATTTCTTCTAATCTGCCTAAGCCTAGTGGGTAGAGTTACCCATTACATTGCTAACGGAAGATTGTAGGTACCCGGTGAAATAACCGAGGTGCACTCATGCAGTAGCAGAGCCAGGTTTGTCAAAAATTTTAAAAAGTAAATACACCAAGAAGTCAAGGGATTCATCAAATAGTATATATACATAAAAGAAATTACTGCCTTCAGGTTGTCCCGAATACCAACATTATCAGGAAAAAAAATGACTACCCCTCCACCAAAGGTAATAAAAATTAACAAACTGACCTCAGGTCGAAACATCAAAGGTGAAGCAGAAGCCCTAGGACTGGACGGTGGAGATTGGCCCATGAACTCTCCATCAACCTGCTGAACGGCCATGATTTCTTGGGCCCCACCAGAATCAACCCCATCAACCTCCTCAACCCCAGATGGGATAATATTGCCTCCACCTTCTTCTAAATCTTCTCTTCCATTAACATTCCCCATTTATTCTAGTATTTTTAACCACAGAAACAGAAAGAAATAACCCACTTTGAATCTACAACAAAAGAGATTCTTTATACCATTATATTTGATTTATTCAAAGAATATTGTACTGTGTGAATTAATTATATATGGAGGATCTAAAGACAAAGGGTGCTTAGATTAGATGAAATTGTAGGATTTGATTGGCTTTTGTTTTTGTGTATGATTATGGAATTAGATTAGATTAAGTGCAGATGAGTGAAGTGAGGAACACAAAAGAAAGCCTGAAAAAGGAAAGGCTGAGGTTAAAGATGATATTTAGGTGTACCAGTTGGAACTAATTACTTATGGTTCAATGGATTGAGTGAAATAATCATTGTGTTAATTTATCTTTTGAGTCGTATATAATTAATTAATCTTGATATAATTTAATACATCAAACAATAATATTACGTGTTTGTTTGAAAAAGGAAAAACGGCCAAATATATCACTCTTTTTTAGGATATTGTCTACATTTAACATTCGTTATAAGATAAATTTGGTCTAATAATATAACGGAGGTTAAATATATATAATATTCGAAAATAAAGGGGTAAATTTGAATCTTTTTCCTTGAAAAAAGTTCAAAATTTTCAAAGATTTTTTATTAGAAAAATATATTTTTATGATACTTTAAAAAAAAATAAGAATATTTTTATGCTCACACAAATTTTCAATAAGATTCCAATTATCCAAACTTGTTTGTGGCTAATTTTGTATCAAGCCTCGTTTTCTCCAATATAACTAATTAAAGGTGAATATTTTATACGTGTAGATGCGGATCTACAATATAAACTATGAGTTCTGCTTAACTCGGATTGGTATGTGTTATATTTTATTAAATATATAAAATATTCAATTTTGAATTTAATAATTAGCACCTGAGGTCATTATCCTAAAATTTCGAACTCATAAGATTAGTTCCTAAATTCGTCTTCATATGTGTGGACTGTGGTGTTTTAACACTAAGGTATTGTTTGGTAGAATGTATTAGGAAAAATAATATATGCAATAACTTTAGTACTATTAACCCTTATTTGGTAGTATTTTTCAACTTATATATAACTTATACATGCATAATTATACACCATGTTCAATATTATTCTTATACATAGCAAAATGTGAATTAACTTTACCATGATTTTTAAAACATGAATAAATATATATAAAGATAGAACTCACCTTTCAAAACCATTTTCAAATGCATTCAAAGAATGTAGAAAGTATTTTTGTAAATGAATAATTTATATTAAAATAAGCAATGCATGTTATTTTTAATGCATCAAATCAAACAGTTGATAAAGATAATTCTAGCATAACAAATCTCAGTATTACGAATATACCTTATTTAATACTATTCTTAAAATGATCACAATATTAATTATATAAAATAGAATCTTAAAAAGGGCAGATTTATTATAATGTATTTTGTCTCCATTAAAATATTAGGTTAAAAGAAGAGTTACAAAAATATCAAATAAAGGACGTAAGTGTAATATCCAAAATTACAAGAGAGGTCAGTGTGATGGAGCGAAACGCGAGAAGAGTTTTATGAAATTATCCGTAAATTCTATTAAATACGTGGAATACAAAATTTCGAACTTATGCTCTGTTGCACGTGTCTATTTGGAAAAGTCGTTTTCCTAGCAGAAACACAATGAGCAAAAGTGTCCACCATTGCCCACATAACTTATTATGGTATTCGTTTCAAAATCAATTTAGTGCCTACTCATACTCTGAGCTTAATCACTTGTACATTCTATATGATTCAATTATTTTTATATCCAATCTATTTATGTATGGATTAGATAATATAAAAAAAAAATGGTCTCCAATGTGCACATAGAAATGTGGTTTCTATTTGCAATTTATTTTCAACTCTAATACAATGTTCCCATTCTAAAATATGTCATTTTAGGTAGAAGCACTAAATAATACAACGTATAGGTCTATACAAATGTTTTTTTCCCCGATAATGTTGATGTCTCGGTCAACTTAAAATCACTTCGATTATTTCACTGAGTATTTGTTACTTCTCCTCAATACAAGTATCGAGTAACCTGGACCAACAAAGCTTAGGCAATAGGCTATACACAAATGCTTAGTGGTTCAATCTCTAATTTTGCATCTTAAATATATTTTTAGTTTGATTAGATTTTATTCTACTTCATTTCTTTTCCTTTTTGTATCTCCAGAACTTTATAGTGGTTTGAACGAAATACACCAAGTTTAGATATCTCTGTGTGACACTTCAATAGGTAGAAGAGAGTTCCAAAGACCAAGCAAAAAAGGCAGCCTGATGCACAAAGTATCTTGCGTTTATATAGGGTCTGGGGAAGGCCGCACCCCAGGAGGTGTGATGTAGGCAGCCTACCTGATGCAAGCATCAGTGCATGATTCCATGGCTCGAACCCCGCGGAGACAACTTTACCGTCGTTCCAAGGCTCCCCCAAACACCAATCAAACAAACATAAATACACAAATAATTCTTGTACACTTAATGCTTGTCTTCACATTAAATAAAAAATAAAAAATAAAAATGGCAGCTAGGTGCACTAAGCTCCCGCTATGCGCGGGGTCCGAGGAAAGGATAGAACCACAAGGATCTATTGTACGCAGACTTACCCTGCATTTCTGTAAGAGGTTGTTTCCACGACTCGAACCCGTCACATCCTGTCACATTGCAGCAACTTTACCAATTACGCCAAGGCTCTTCTTGCATTCAAAAATATAAATCTGAAAGCCAATACTTCCATCACAGAACACTTTGGATCGCATTGCTCTCATGTCATTACATCATAATATAAAATAATTGAACCTTTATAAACTTCATTGAAGTCACGGTGAATCAAACATCCTATCCATATTTCTTCCTTTTCCCCCTCTGGGAGAGGGAAGAACCAATTTTTTAGCTTCCTCTAACAGGGGTCGTCGCGACTATTTGTTCTAACATTGCCATTCATGTACAAATAGGTATTCTTCTGAGAAAAACTGGTCACTGTAGGAACTGAGGAGAATCCAGTATACCTGCCCTCCATCTTTGCCGAGCATATGTCAGAAATGTACCTTAGAAGCTCATGTCCATGGACAAACGGCTGAGCTGCATATTGTTCAAATGGCATCCACTGCAAGTAGAAAAACATCAAAAAGGATAGAGAAAAACATGAGCGTGGAGCTGGGAACTGCTAATTTAATGCAGTTTTACTTTGCCATCTACAAGTTTGCACGTAATTTTCTATAAGTTAGATGGATCCAAGTTAATTTTCTCACTGCATGTCAATTAAAGCTCATGTCAACTGTTTCTACTTGATTACTTTGTCCGAAATCAAACCAACAAGAGTCCAGCTAAAAACACTTCAAAAAAGAATGCAAGATTTGCCCAGATGAGGAAAAAGATGTTTGTTAAAGGGAAAACAGAAAATGGTAGTGTCTCAACTATAGGGGTAAGATTTGCGTACACACTACCCTCCCCAGACCCCACATGTGGGAATACGTGGAAATATACTGGGTCAGTTGTTATATTAGGACGTCCTAGTTCTGATACCTGGGCTGCCTCTATTTCTGCATCCTGCTTGTGGATATCAAAGGAGAGAGGTTGTAGCATGCAAACAAAGAATAGATCCGACTTGTCAAAGAATGACTTGTGGCTTTGCCTGCAATTTAATAAATCATCTTTCAAACACAAATTAAGCATCTTAGTATGAAATGCAGAAACTGCAACAGACCGAACATGTAAGGGACAACAAAAGGTTTCATATCATGTAAAAAGAAGATGACTGAAGCATTTACTAACGTCGTGATCTACTCAATGACTATGTTGTTGGCATTCCACAATCAGAAGGGAACAAGAGCATAACCACCGCGATTTTACATACATAGTATCAAGAATGTAACACACACTTAAGACATAAGAGTAACTTAAACAAATTTAAGCAAAAGACAACCTGAATGCCAGTATTTCTATAAACTTTGCATTAACCTGCATCAATATACCAAGTGAGGGTTGTTACTAAATCCTGAAATAAGCTAGCATATGGAATAGCTAGTTTTTATTTAAAAACAAGAAATTTCATCAGTATACTTGCTCACCCCTGTCTCTTCTTTTACTTCCCTGACAGCTGCATCACATATATCTTCACCCTGCGGATAAAAAGTCAACACAACTGCAGATATTCTTGCAGCGGATAGTTTTGCTTCTTTTTTTTTAACCCTCCATTTAAATTAATTTGAGTTTCTTATATGGCATCGATTTTAACATTCAAACATACCTCATCAACAACTCCTGTAGGAAACTTCCACACACCGGTTCCACGAAATCGTCCACTCTTTTCTTGGACAACTAGCACCTAGCATTTGAAAGAAATTATTACTGCAAGTACTCAAATAATTTACTAAGTACAGAAATAAATGTAAGCCGAACACTATCAGATTGATGTACATGGAGAAAGAAGAAACCTTTTCCGATTTTTGAAAAAGAAAAAAAAAAGAAGCTATAGTGTGCAACAGCGAGGAGATGGGTAAGGTGGTCCATAACAAAGAAAATTGACAGATAACATCCAACCAAGTAATGGTGTCAAGGTATAAAAACATGAGGTGCCATACACACAACAAGATATCTTCTTGCAACCCACACTGAATTCGCCCTCTGGCCAAGGTCAAAAAATCATTAATCAGTATGTAAAGGGAATTATTTCAGTGATGTTATATATTCGATTTCACTAGATAACTACTGTTAGTTTGATTTATAGTCCATGAACATAACCTTGAGCTATACAAGTTTTAACTCATTCATTCACGTCTAGGAAGAAAAGACAAGTTTTCTGACTGAATTTATTGGCAGAGAACACCGATAGGCACTAGGGAGCAGCTAGGATAAGGATTCTGCAACACTGACCCATTCTTCTCACTTACATCCCTTTGCAAATTATGCAAAAAACTCGTAAAACTAATTCAACCTCCATATAGAGCTTATTATGTTATCTTTACTTATTTATTTATTAATTAATATTTATCTCGGATAAGCAATTTTCCTTGATACCAAAAGGTAAGGAGTACCCCTATAGAAGGATATACAAAGCAGATAAAGCCTGTATAAAAGACAGGGGCGCAAGTTCCATTCCCTATTGCAGCATAGTTTCTATTTTTTGGCTTCTTCTTTAGATTTTGTCACCCCTTTGTATAGATTCTGGCTCCGCCACTTATAAAAGAGACTCTCCAGAAAAAGTTTACCCAATTACTATCCTAGTAAAGATATACCGTGAACTCCACAGAATTTCTTTTTATAAAAATGGATATGGAATATAGATTTTTTCATTTCTCCAGAAGCTCCGATTCATTTTCCTTCAATCTATCCATATTACTGCATGAGGTGCAAATGCAGGTTTTTCCCTTTTAATCTCAATTCTCTTATTTTGCAGCAGGAAAGCAGATGCTTCACTGTTTTGGAAATCACCAGAAAGGCTTCAAGATTTGGTGCTAGAGGCACAGTGGATAAGTTTCACTGGCAGGCTTGCGCAAAATCATTATTTACATGCTGCCTTCTATACAGAAGAACTCGCTTCTTTTGGGGTTGTAAACAGACTCGGAAGGAGAGTCCCTTCTGCTTCTCTTGAGAAATAATCTCTACAAGAAATTGACTTGAACTTGCCTCGAGGATAACCCATCTCTCAGTCTCGTAAGTCCCTGGTTCTATCAGTTAAACTCCCCAAACACAGAATGTGCTCTTTTTCTGGCAACCTCGACTACAGAACATCAGTTTGCGGAACTGGAGTAAGGTTGCTGAAATCTCACCTTACCACCTTACGAGGACCCTCATTACACATCCTCATACCCAGAGTAGCATCTTCCCATCTTCCCACATGTACCTAATTTCCCTTCAAAATCGCCCACCTGCGAGTCTGTGATCATGTACCTAATTTTCCCCTTTATAAAGTAATTTTGGCCAATTAATTCTATACCATCCATGATACTCACGTTGGACACAAATCTCGACCAATCATGAACATATTGCAGACTTGCCAAATAACAATGAAACCGTCTTCTTTTTCAAAAGAAGCCATCTAACTTACTTTGATCTGAATCTGGACTATGATTTCTGTAGATCAGACCTTATTGTTACTTGTTTTTTTGTTCTCTAACAACAACCAAAAAAAAAAAAAAAAAAATCCAGTGAGATTCCCACAAATGGGGTAAGGGGAGGGTAGTGTGTAGGCAGACCTTACTCCTACCCTGGGGCAGAGAAGTTGTTTCCGATAGACCCTCAGGTAAAGACAAAATGAAAAGAATCAGTGGCAATAAGTGGTAACAACAACAACAAGGTATTAAGAAAACTAAAGCAAAAGAAAATCTTCAGTCGACTGTCATTTGTGCTCTTTTTTTTATGAATAGTAACATTGTCTATGTATCCAATTAATGAAATAAACACATACAATCATGTACTTTTGAGGTGCATAATGAACAAAAATGGCTCATCAATCTAATCCCCACTAAAGTTGGAAGACCCTCCATGTTGAAGCAGCTTGTAGTTGTTCTTTCCTTAATGTATTATAATGATTGGTCTCTTTTCTAGCTTTTCCAACAAAACTGAGTTTATATACATGACNACATGATCATTAGGCAGAATGAGTAACACCAAAATATACCTCATTCCTTTCATTGATGACAAAAGCACCAATACCCACTCTATGTGTCGCATTTGCCGGAATAGTGTTAGCAGTTCCAGGGAGCCAATTCACAAGCATCAAGTATTTTGGTTCTGCGTGGTGGTAATAAAATCCTTCCTGCAAAGAAACAGGATAATTGTGTGCAAATTGAGATATGGGAGCAATAGAATTTAATCATTAAGAGGAGCAACAAACTTACCTTAACAGCATGTTCAACAAGCGTTACAAGCTCAATAGGTAACTTGATCCAAACACCTCTTTTGCCCTGCAAGCATGTCCACCTATTATCAAGGATGAAATTTGAATCAAAATTTAATGCACAGAAATTCAGAAGTCCAATCTAAAGTTAATCATCACCTTGCAAACTTACAACTGTTCTCTTTTTCCAATAGTATCCATATAAGCGTGACAATAAAATCAGCCTTTTCAAAAGACATGTAATTCTAATAGACTCACGTTTCCCCACAATTTAGACATGGAGCCCAGAATTTGGCAGTGTGACACAAGTCATTATTCAATCACCACTTCCTACTTCTAGCACATGAATGAGCTGGTGTTCAGCAGATTGTATACTAGACGTTACACAACATTTTCCAAAGGATGAAGTCGCAAGATGCACAATAGACAACAAGATCACAAAATCAACATTGAAATCAGCTTCAGGGTGACGTTCAATTAATAGCCTCATGGTAACACACTGAGTCTTCTTCTTTTCCTTCTACTTACCCCATAAAAAAAGGACGTATTGCTAACAACCCAGCATGCAGATGTACCCCTACCCCCGGTACCTCTTAAACCTCTATGCAACTCAGCATTACTACCATGGTCATGCGGTATAACAATCCTAAATTTGTAATACCTAAGATGTCCAGGAGCAACAATAAAAAATCTAAGATGTTTAGGAGCAAACAACAATAACGACAACCCAGTGAAATCCACTAGTGGGGATGTTTAGGAGCCAAACAAAGAAAATAAATAAACATGCGTATGAAAGGAAATCATTTTTTGCCTCAGAGGACAAACCTAGCAGGATAAAAAGGAAATAATAAAGAACCTTTTTCCAACTTTATTGTTACTTTAGGGTGAGGAGACACCATTCAAAACCCTGACCACTTACAATGAAGTAGGACAGACAACAAAAGAATTTTTCTTTTTTCAAAACAGTGGTGTTTGGGTCCGCGCACCTCAACTATTCCACCGGATACCTACGACCTTCTACCAATACAGGCTCCGAATAACTCTGTCCACCAAGATTTACGGAAGAAATAAACTAGTATTTTTTGCCTCAACTAAGATTTGAACCAAAAAAAAGAATTTTTTCTCAACTTATTCACGACTAAAGGGAATCCTACAAGATTAACTTTATGACTTGAGTGAAATTTGAACAATAGAATCTGAATAGTAACTAAAAACAAAATATCCCTGCTCAAGTTCAAATCCTAGTGGAGGCAAAAGATTTCTTCTCACCCAAGCCTCGAAGTGCGTATGAGTTGGCCCGAACAGCACCATCATAAAAATAAATAACCAAAAAAAAAAATATACATAGTATTAGAAATACCTGTTGTCTCCAATGAGAAAGTGAGGCTCTAAGCAAAGAACCAAATACAGAAGGGTCCAAGGGCTCATTAGTCATTTCCACATTTACCCCACCATAGTCATCCTCTTTTGCATCTAATATTCTATCCACTTGTTCCATTTCCTTCTCCCTTGCCATTGCTGGAGTTACAGAGCAACTCATTGAGGACCTTGTGTGTAGGTAAATACTATACCTAATCTTGGTCAATTTGCCTAAAATAATCACAAACAAAAAATTGGTTAGACTTGTTCAAAACTTTAAAAAGACCAAAGGGTCAGTTAAAGAAATTAAAATACAACCTACTCTTGGACAATTTGCCTAAAATATTCACAATAAATGGTTACACTTGCAAAAAGCTAACAAACTTTTTCTGATGACCAATGTCGAGTCCAGTTTGGGCACATCTTGATTAATTTCACTAGGTACCTACTACCTTTCAACACAAATACCCGATAATAATTTTTAAAAAAAACTGATAAAATAGAGCCTAATCTTGGAAATTTTGGCTAAAATATTCACAATAATTGGTTACACTTATAAAAAGCTGACAATTTTATTTTTGATGACCGGTATCGAGGCCAATTTAGGTAAGGTCTTCTTGAGCCGAGGGTCTTTCGGAAACAGCCTGGTAAGGTGTGCGTACACACTATCCTACTCAGACCCCACTTGTGGACTATACTGGGTCGTTGTTGTTGTTGTTGGTATCGAGACCAACTTAGGTGCACCTCGACTAGTTTCACTGCGCATCTGCTACCTCCAACCACCTCAAGTACCCGGTAGTAATTTAAAAAAACTGATAAAATAGAGCCTAATCTTGGACAATTTAGCTAAAATAATGACAATAATTGGTTGAATTTAGACAAGATAAAAAAAATCAGAAAATGGTATATTCAATATAGAAAAATAGAACAAGGGTCACCTTGATTTTTGCAGAAACTGATGAGTGTTGCCGGATGGCTAGAGAAGAAGTGACGTTTTGAGCTAAAAAATGAATTTCTTGGATCGGTGACATAGGAAAGAAAAGGGGTGCGACACAAAAATTTGATTATCATTTATCAGATTATATGGGAAAATATATTTTAAAAAATAATTGAAGAATGAGGATTTGCAATTCAGGAAAATGTGTAACGTGGAGACAGAAGAGAGAGCCTGTGATTGTCTTGGAACTTGATTGAAGGAAGGAGTCAAAAAATGAATATAAAAAAATAATCGTGGAATAGCAGCGTACCAAACGCTTCACAATGTCAACTTGTTGGAACCGCACTTTTATTTTTTCTATTTATAGACTTATTAATACTCCCTCCGTCTTAAATTATTTAGCCCGATTTCTAAAAACTAATTATCTCAAATTATTTATTATTTCAAAAGTTCAGGACAATCTTAATTATTATTTTTATTTTATTTTTAGTAGTAATTATTCTTAAATACTACAAATACCTCAATTATGGGGTAATATTATGATTGTTCAAACACCAATAAGATTTAAATAGGGGTGAAATAGTTAAAAATACCTCATAAAGCAATTAATATTTTTTTAAGGGACATGTAAAAGAAAAATATAATTTGAGATGGAGGGAGTAATTAGCTTCATAGTTTCATCCATTTTCCTAGCTATTGGTATTTGGAAGGCTATCTTTTATTTAATTACATTAATGATTCTTGTAATAAGCTTTTTTCAAATTAATTTTTGAAAATGTTGATAACTTGTGAGTAGAATTGAAGTTCAAATACGTCTTCGAACCACAATTTTAACTCGATTTTTCTGAAATTTACTTTTAAATTTTGTTTTCAATTTCACATATAAACGTCAAACATGCAAGCTAAACTCTCTTAACGTAAAAGTGAAATTCCTGAATAAACCTAAATATACAGTGGTCAATGGACAAATTTATTTAAATAAAAAGGGAAGACTTATCAATTACGAGTAATATTTTTCCAATAACTGTATTGGTGAAAAAATGCATGACACGTGGACCAACAACAAGACGACAAGTGACACTTATAATTGGGCCAATAAAGAAAAACATAAAGGCATGGATAAAACACTAGAAATGGCATGGTATAGCCACTTCTATGTGGTATTTACTTTTTAGCCTGTGTTTTTAATGTTGAGCAAAAATAGCCACTACTCTATTAAAATTGATACAAAAAGTCATTTTACCCTTTCTTCACGAGTGATGTGTAAATATTAAGGACACGATATCCTTAATTTCATGAGTATTGTGTAAATATTAAGGACAAACCATGTCTTAATATTTTACACATCACTCATGAAG